CCGCTGGCTCACAAGGCGACCCTCTAGCCGCAGGAAAACAACGCCTGAAAAGGGGCAGCACCAGCAGCGCCTGTCACAACGCGGCCATGCATTTGCACACGCACTCACACGCAACGGTTTCACCAACCAAAAGTCACAAACATTGATTGGATCCTCTTCACAGCTATCAGGACACTGACTTGGCTCAACTTGCCTTGGGAACACTCTGTCCAGAGCTACCGCTCCCAGCCTCGTCAAATGCCCAATGCTTTGTGCAAGATGGGTATTGGGCCATTTTGTGCTCTTGCTTCGCAGGCTTCAGACACAACACTGCAAAACAGTCAGCATGGCCAGCGCACCCTCGGAGCTCTACAGCACACGGCCACGCACATGAACCTGCAGCAGCTTGCGTCAACGGGTCATGCCAAGGCTCCTCCTTGGGCGGACTGGCGGTGGACTCGGCAACTGGAGCCCTCAGTCCACAGCTGATCCCAAAAAAAAAAGGTCACAAGACGACGGAGAATGCAGAGTTCTTCCCATAAGAGTCACCCAGCAGGGGGGCCGGGCTCTTCCGCTTTGGCCTCCTGCTTCCCTCCAGCCTGCCAATGGGCTTAGGTTTTCTGGGTCCTGATGACCTCTCCCCAACCACAACCCCTCGAATGCCCTGTAGTGGCTGCTGTCATTGCACGGGAACCCCCAAGACCCGGAGACCCACTTGACAGCGCCTCTTTGGTTTTGGAGGCACGGCCGGCAAAGGCCCGGGCCTTTCCCAGTGTGGAGGCGTGAGGAGTTTGGAGTGCGCGGCTTGAGGGCGGAAGGATCTTGCAGAAGCATTTAGTGAATACTTATACTTGGCTTTTGGACATGCTTGGGCATCTTAAGGCTGTAAGCCGGATCACTGGGCTTCCCTCTATCGGCCAGAGGCCCCAAGAGAAGCTTCCCCCCCCGCAAGTCTTTCCACGCCATCGAACATCCAACCTGGCCTCGTAAAGGCCAGGAGCCCTAGGCCTGGGGCAGCTCGGCCTGGGAGAGGAACCAAGGGCTCGGCAAGCAACAAAACAGTCAAACCTGTCAAACCCTAAACCCTGAACCCTAAACCCTACACCCTGAACCCTGAACAGTTCCCAGGGCTGCCTCTCCGTCATGCAAAGCTACATCCCCACCATCGACGCCACGCGATGTTCGGCAGTGCGGCCAGGGCACGACCAGCAGATGCCCCAGGCACCAGAAGTGTGCCGTGCGCCCACAGGCGCACGCTGTCTAAGTCTAAGCCTTGGTACGAGGGTCTCGGCTCAAGGTTCTGAAGGTGCCAGCAAATAACTGCACGCAGCAACATACAGGGCATGCAGTCACTTAGCGTGGACTGCACACAACTGTACGCCAACGGGCCAGCAGAATTACCAGCGTTGGCTTCCGCATGACATCAGTCCCCGAGGACAGGGCACTAACATGACGGCGAAGACAGGCACGCAGGAAGAAGGCAATGGGCATACCACACGGTACACGAACCTGAGCTTGCCATACCAAGAGACGTCTACGTTGGAATGTTCCCCTTTTCCTAACAGTCCTTAATAGGGATTATAGGAGGGGGTACTGTAATGGATTACAAGAGGGGGTACTATAATCCCTATTAAGGACTGTTCGTATAAGGGGGAACATCCCAAGGTTTACAGTGGGTTTTGACAGCCACTTTCGGAGGCCCGGCCTGGGGGGGGGCTCCTAGCCTCGGAGAACAGGCCAACGGACAGCGAGCGGCCGTGCTCAAAAGGCTAAGCGGCGCAGTCGTTTGTTGCTCTGGTTGACTGGGCTAATGCCTCGAGGCTGCGCGGAGGCCATATGGATACGGTTTCTATGAATGTCTGATGCATTTCAGTGTCTTTCCAGATCTTCCTATCCAGCGGAATGCATCGCATGCATGGCCTCTCTGTTCGGTTTGTGGGTGCGGTGCCCATCAGGAACTGTGGCTGCAGGCTCAAGAAGGTGGTCTTGCAGTGTCAGCATGTTGCAACCATGTTGGACACTATCCGTGGAGCCAACCGCGCGAAACAAGCCAGCGCTGCACGCCTGCGAAGCTCGCGCGCCGCTTGAAGCGGCATGAAAGTTATCATAAGTTATCCCACTGCTCACTTTACGATCGTGAAAGGTACCGCAACGTCAGACTGAAAAAACCCCTCCATCCCCCGCCCTTTCAAGTGCAGGCATGGGCAGACGCCTGGGAGTGCAGCGAAGATCCCAGGCTTCGGGCCGAGGATTTGGCTCTGGGGCTCAAGTGCGAGACTCTTTGGGGGCGTGCAGCTGTTGCAGAAAAGCGTGGACTGGGTCAGGCTCAGCCAAAGCAGAAGCGGGCATTGATTGTTCAAGCTGTGATCAACAGAAAAACACACCCAAAGCATCTGAGAGCGATTAGAGTCAATCAAGCCGAGCAGACGTCCACTCACCGCTGATACAGTTCGTTGCCGTGAAGCCTTCCAACCTTCAAGAAAAATCCAATCGTCGTCACACCTCTAGCCTCCTCAACACCTTGAAGCCTGAAGGCCCATCCGGAAACCAAAGAGGCAGTGGAGGGTGCGCACCATTCTCGCCTGGGCCCAGCACTCTCTGAAAAGTGGTGGGTCGAAGAGCATCGCTTTTCAGAAGTGCATCGTAAGCAGCCATGGGATATGGACTCGATTCCAGGTAGGCCATGGAAGCAGACTACAAGCTGGCACAGAAGCTCTTGTTTTCCAAACCGCAGCAGGCCCGCAAAGACTCCCAGGAGCACTCACGGGCGGTTCTGCAGGATACCACAGCCTGAGCTGTAAGACAAGAGTCTGCTCCGACACGCTCCAACTTGACGCAGATTTCAGCCGTAGACTCCATGCTGGCACAGCGCAGTGGCGTAGCACTGCTTACCGGGCCGAAGTCTCTATTCGCTACTCGCTCGGAACAAAACACCAAGCTAACCACTCTCTCTTTCAGTCCACCCACCCAACCCACTGAAAACCCAAGCGAAAGCAGCCGTGGCCCTGCTTTTACGCACCGACACAGATTCTGCCGCAATGCGGGTGTGGGTTCTCAAAAGCCAGCCAAGGTTCCAAGCTTCCAAGCTCACTGCACCTCCCTGGCCATACACAAGGCATAGGTGGCCCGGGAGCCGGGGCACCTAAAGATGCGACATGAGGCACAAGCTGAGGCACAACAACGGGAGCTCCATGTGGGAGCCGATGTGCTGCACGCCCCATGGCTGCGCCATGCTTAGCCCGGCACGGCTCCCCATCCTCACAAAGCCGCCATTGGTTGTGAGAACAGCCTGCACAAGACCAGAGCAGAACACAATAAAACCCTAAACCCGAAACCCTTAACCCTTGACCCTAAGGCCTAAACCCTAAACGGTCTTGAGATTCTGGGGGCCACCCAATGTTTCACGACCCTTTCTTGAGCCTTCGGTGAAGACGTTCTTCGCCTTGTTCTTGAGCCACTTGGTGAAGTCACAGTCGGAGTCTTAGTCCCAGGCCGCTCGAGGGGGACAAGCAAGATTGCATCGTGTCACGCAGCTGCTTGCCCCGGAGGCTCCTTAATCCTCCTTTGCATCTCACACACTCGGAGGTTCAAGGCACTTAAGGGGCCGAGAAGTGGGTTATCAGCATAGTTATAACTGGTCATTAAGTACCATGAACCTCCAAGTACCATGATGTGCTGCAACATTTGTGGCTGTCAAAATCCGCCGAGGCCTCGGGCCGTAGGTGTATGGGTGGCACAAAGCAGGCTCCCCACCTCTATCCCCTCCCCCTTTTTTCGGCGTTTTTTTCCTGCAATGGGTACCCCCGAGGCAAACGGGGGTGACAACACAACAGGACCAGGGCAGTTTTGGCCTTGACACACAGGGACCCCCCCCCTGGGCCCCCCCCCCCCCCCCCCCCCCCCCCCCCCCCCCCCCCCCCCCCCCCCCCCCCCCCCCCCCCCCCCCGCCCGCCCCCCCCACTTCTCCAGGCCCCCCCCCGCCCCCCACCCACCCGTGCCCATTACTGGTGCAGGGTTGCACCCCAAGCTCTCTGCGCCACTCATTTCTGCGTGGTCACGGTGCACGACACGGTGCGTGTGAAACCTGGTGCGCAGCACGTCGCGCTAGGCATGCCTCTGTTGGGCATGCGGTTTAGGGTTTAGGGTTTAGGGTCTCGGGTCTAGGGTTTTAGGGTCTAGGGTCTCGGGTCTAGCATCTGGCGTTGATGCATGAGGCGGCGACATGCGTCCTGGCCAAACTGCCTCTGTGGACCCTGCGCAGCTGCAGAGCTTCCCGCAACCATGCACATGCTCACGGGGCTGCGCTGGGCCAGGCCGAGGCGGGTCGCGTAGCGTTAAAATTATGATCCCTTTTGGGGGTACCCAAAAAATATTAGGTGCCGTATTATCATGGAGATCCAAAAAGGGACCACACCCACGTGCAGCAGCACTGCAGCTGAAGGGCCGCCAGACACTTCCTGCAGAGAAGTCAAGCGACATGGGGGCAAAAAAAAGAAGAGCGTTCCTGTGCTTCGCACCTCTTTGCGCGTGCCCTGTTCTCTGTCATACTTGGGACTCAGAGAGGAAACCTGGGTTCAGGAGGGTTTAGGGCTCAGGGCTTAGGGCTTAGGCTTTGTAACTTGCAACCGGCCTTGTTTAGGGTTTTCTAGCCTTCAAAAAACCGCGAAGTTTAGGGTTCAGGGCTTAGGGTTTTGCAACTTGCAACCGGCCTTGTTCTTCACGGCACTCATCATCGTGTACAAGGCCGCGCACTCGTAGCCAGGCACCGAGAGATGCTCCGACCGGGATGAGCACAATGTCTGGCAGCGCTGAAACGCAGACACGCAGTGGGTGTAGGCTTTGGGGTTGAGGGTTTAGGGTTTAGGCTTCAGGGGAATAGGGTTCAGGGGTATAGGGTTTAGGATGGTTTAGGAGGGTTTAGGGCAGCGAGCCAATCAGGTTCCAAGTTCGCGGGGGGATGAAAAAATCCGCAGGTTGCGCTTGCGTCTATTCAACACCTTCAACATGACCAACATGCCCGAAACCCTAAACCCTAAACCCTAAACCCTAAACCCTAAACCCTAAACTGCTTCAAAGTGCTCAAATTGCTCCAAACTTCAGCTCCTGGGGCCCACATCTTCATCCCCAAACCGGCCTGCAGCTGGTTCTTGGCAACCCTGGCCTGCTGACAAAGCCAAGTGCATGCCGTGATATGGGGGTTACCCCTTCATGCATACCTCAAAAAAATAATCCCCTAAAAAGAGTACAAATATTTTTCGGAAAGCCTCATATACATCAACGACGCAATCAAGAGTCTCTGTCGCGGCACTGTGACTGGACGCATATCTACAAGCATGACAGAGTGTGGAAAGCGGAACCATGCGGAACGACATCTGCTTCTGGGCCAAAACCACCACGGACAATGTGTGTCAACTTGCTGCCCGCCTTGCCCTTGCTGTTTTTGACAGTACTACCTGCCAAGCTAACCTTGGCCGCCAGTCACAGAATGAGGCCAAAAGATGCAGTTTATTGACGGCAGAGCAATTGCACACGCCTGTTCAGCATCTTTAGCATGACACCACTCCAAGTGCGGTTTTGCTTTGGCGGCAGAGTGGTGACGCCAACAATGCAGCAGCTAGCAAGGACATGCAAGGACACGCGCGCAATGCTGCGCCAGATCACCTCCTAGTTGGCAACGGCAACAACCTGCCAACCTAAACCGGAACAGTCGCAACGCAAGCATGAATGCCCAATCAGTTCTCAAGTTCTCAAGTGCCAACGCCATACATTTCTGGACCATTGAAAGGCCACCGAGATGCTAGCTCGTTCCTGGTCCAGGCTGCCTCTCCATCCTCTCCTCCACGGCAGCCCTGCCAATGGCAACACACGCAGAACTCGAGTGAGCCTCGGAGCCTCTACCTGTGCAAGAGGTTCGAAACATGCCACCCCTTCCTGTCCTGATCCAAATCATTCGCAGATGGGCATGTTGCGTTTTTGCACCAACTTCTATGAACCAAAGAAGAGCATGCCGAACCCACATCAAGACAGGCTAAAGCGCAGCATGCCTCCTGTGCCAGCACCGCAGGAGAAGTCGGTGGCAGCGAGTTACTCTCCTGAGCACTCGGTCAACTCAGAGCCGCATCCACCCGGGCGACCGAGTGCAGCAATGTCCCTAGACAAAGCAGTGCGCGGATGGCAAGCAAAAAGCCTGTCCTGCTTGCTTGCCTCTTCCGACTCCACAAGCTTTGCCTTGACCTCCACATCGAAGCCGGTTCGGACTGCCCCTAAATATGAGGGGGGGGTTCCGAAATTAAAAGGGGTACCTTATTGGGGTCCCCTATCATAAGGGGATCCTGGTATCATACTAGGTTGTCTATGTTTGGGAAGTGGAAACCCCCAAACATGAATGCGAACCCCCCCCTTGGCCTCGGGGCTTGCGGCTTTCTTCGCCTCGCGAGCCTCCCTGTCCAGCTTCACGATGTTTGTCTGCACAGCAGGGCTCGCACTTCTCACACTCCCGCGTGGTTTTAGGGTTTAGGGAGTTTAGGGTTTTTAGGGTTTAGGGTTTAGGGTTTAGGGCTTAGGGTTAAGGGTTTAGGATTTAATGTATGGCATCCAAGCCGCAACCAAAGCCCGTTGCATGTTCTTGTAGCCTTCTGACGCTCGATCCTGCAGGGAACGGCATACTGGAGATGCAAGCGCAGAGACGCAGCACTGACGCGCGATCATCTACCGCACATCTAGCTGAGATTTGCTTTCATGAGAGCTCCTGATCACAGGTGAGCTCCAAACCGCCGTAGGAACCCGTGCCTCCACTGACAAATACAAGTGACGCGCAAGACTTTTTAGAAATCACAATTCTGAACGTAAGCAAGTGCAAGCGAACACGTGTGGGCACATGGCAAATGCATACATAGTCCGTACTTGCAGATGAGAGGCAAGGAGCTCCACCGCCACAGCCGTCCGCCTCGCACAGCGCTTCGATCACGCCTGCGAGGCAAAACTCCAAAGAAGCGGGCGCTTGCACCAATCCTGCAGATGGCTCATATTGCAGCTGAGCGTGTCCTTCTTGGACACACTCTATCTCATACTCCCAACCCTATCAACCCTATCAACCCTATCAACATCTCAACTCCAAATTTCCTGCCCTCTCCAACCTCGCAGCTGGTAGGCAAGCAAGCCCTCCAGGCCGATCCCGAGACGGAAGATACACCTCTTGCCTTACTCTGTTGGTCGTTGGAACTAGCAGAACACAAGCAGCAAGAAACAGCAAAACGCATACACAAGGAACGTAAGCTAGCAAAGTGTCGACCAATCTCTACCGCTTTGCCTAAAGCCTGTAGCGGCGTTTAGCTGCCTGTACCACGCAGCACGAAAACGAACAGACGCAAGCCATGCTCAACCACGCGGCAGCGTCACTGCGCTCCAACCGCCATCCACCAACTCCACAAAAACGAGAACACTTGCACTCATTCATCCGGCTTGGCGCTCAGAATCCGAAAGCATTGGTTTTTGGGGTGGGGCGAGATGAAGTGCAGTCGAGCCCAGTGACAATTGCGCTCGCTTGCCTTCGCTTTCTCCTTGGCAGAGGCTGGCTAACCTAAACCCTAAACCCTAAAAACTGTGCCTCCTCACAGCTGCACACCTACAGCTGGCCTTCGAGTCATCGAAGACGTTCTGCGCTTCTGGCACTGTCTCTTCTGGGGTCGTATCGGCCTCGTGACACGAAGCATGAGCCAACTGCTTCTCCCTGTTCTCAATGCCAACACATGCTTGAGGTCCTCGTCATCCTCACCCTCACCCTCATCTTCACCGACGATGGTCGTGCCGCTGCTGCTTTCTTGTTCTGACTCCTGCACACTGAGTGCAACAGGCAGAAACATGCAGAAGCCGCAGCTGCGCGCGTATGCTAACACCCTAAACCCTAAACCCTAAACCCTAAACCCTAAACACCGGCTTTGGCACCTGCGGGGCTGACTTTGTCTTCAGCTGCACAGGAGGCGGTAGGATCTCGCGAGGCGTGCTGTCGTCCTGAAAATTCGCAAGCGCAGGATACTTGGAATACTTATACAAAGCCCCCAATGTGGTGATAATTTGGGTTATGAGTACAGTTGTGATTGGGATGTTAAGTACCTTGAACCTAGATACTCTGGCTGGTTCTTAGTAGGGAATGAGGGAATGAGGTACCCAGGCCCCTAATTCAGTAAATTCCCTACTAAGGACCAGGGGGGTACTCAGTGGCAGCAGCAAGGATTCCAATCCTCCTCCTCGTCGACCAGCTCTCGGGCATGAGCATGAATCTCCTGAGGTGCGCACAACCGCACAGTGAAGCCTTTGCTCAAGCAAAGCCGTGCACCAAACGCACGTCGCGGGTCGCGGTTGAATCCGTCTAAGATAAGCAGCTGTGCTCGCCAAAATTATTCCGAGGGTGCAAGTCGGAGTGCCCCTTAATAACCCTAAACCCTAAACCCTAAACCCTAAACAATAAAACCACCTTGTAGCATGAGGATGCATCGAGACGCCGGATCGTTGAGATTGCGGACCTGTGATGTGGCAGGTACAATAGGGTTTAGGGTTTCGGGTTTAGGGTTTAGGGTTTAGGATTTAGGGTTTAGGGTTTAGGGTTTAGGGTTTAGGGTTTAGGGTTTAGGGTTTAGGGTTTAGGGTTTAGGGTTTAGGGCAAAAAGCTTCGTCTCCCTTCACTCGCAGGGCCATCAGGGTGCACGGCAGATTTGGCAGACTGGGTCCTGCCTTCTCCCCGCTGGGGACCTCCGGCTGTAGCTCAGCCTTGACATGGCACAAACCCTAAACCCTAAACCCTAAACCCTAAACCCTTAACCCTAAACCCTAAACCCCAGCCAGCAGCTTGCAGTGCAGCCTAATGTTGTACCTGCTTTTGTGGGGGCCCTCTCCTTCAAAAGTCATTTTTTCCGGGCTATTCGGGACAGTAGGACTGTTTGGGGGGTGGGTTGGGGGGGGGGGGGGCGGGGGGGTGGGTTGGGGGGGGGGGGGCGGTGGGATCAGCAATTACGTCACATCGTCCGGGTGTGGCAAGATAACTTCGTGCGGCAGGCCTTTAAATTCAATTGCCCGGGCTCGCAGTCCAAGTTTAACCTCATCTAAACTGCTCGCTTGTAGAACCATCATATAGACCCATGCACCATTTCAACCATTTAAGCCCGTGCACCGTTGAAAGAGAGCCAAAACCAGCTTCGACTGTTCTGGGTGGGTGGGGGAGGGATTTTCACCACAAGGCAGTGGTGAATATCAGGACGACACCGACCCAAGCTTCAAACCTCCCGGAGAAGCTGGAGGTGGACCATCTGGTAGAAGCCAGCGCTGTTCGCCTGTGACAAGATTTCGGCAAGGCTCGGGACCGTACCAGAATCACTTGGTTTGGTGTGGGTGCGGTCCTTGTCGAAGGGCTTCAAGGCGACCTTAGTGTTCATTCATAAGCAATCCATTAACACCAGCTACACCAGACCCAGGATCAGGTGGGCAAGACTTCACTGAGGCTCCTGCTCCTTGCCCACCGAAAGTGGTGAACTCAATCTGCCCCATCTTGCGGCCGCAGGAGGCGAAGCCAGCCAACTTGCAACAAGCCAGCGGGAAAATCACGTTAAGTGGCCCTGCGCAAGGTCTCCAAGTCCGCGCCTTAACGTAGTACTGTTGCTTTACCTCGACGGTCGCTTCGAGGACCGCATCCGGGTCAACACCTTCTGGTATTCTGTCTCGCAGTGCCCATGCACTGCAGGAAACATGTGGCGGCCGTCAATGAACTGTGGCCAGGCAATGAAAAACTCCAAAAGGTTGTTTCAATCCCTCTCCTATATTCTTCAGGGCAAAGAGGGTATCGACGGTAGCCCGGAAAGGACTTCAAAGGGAATGGCACTTAGTGATACTTAGTGACGATATTATGCGAGACATACACCGACTGAGCCTTGACCCTTGGCTGAGGGAAGGTTTCTCGATTGGAATGCATTGCGCGATGTCAGCGACGTGGCAGCGATGTGGCAGCGACGCAAGACTCCACGCCGCAATCTTTGCAAGCTGGGCATGGCAACTCTCCAATCTGCCATGGTGCCGGGACGGCAGAAGAGGAGATCTTGCACAGATTTGCCGCAAGTGAGGTGAGGTAGTGATGGGATCTTAGAACTTTCCTGCGATTGTGCCACATGGCATGCCGAAAGCTGTTGTTGCAGCGGCCTTCTGTGCCCCGCGAAAGGGTCTGCACATGGGCCCTATCAGTAATGTCACGTGGCTGCAACGGCACACGGCCAATCCTTAACGTTTATCACGAATGTACGAAGCCATCAATTTTTGCTGAGGAGCAGGCGTAGAGGAATTTGGGGGTCTGAGATGGGAGTACCAGTTCTCCTGCCCTCCGCGTTACCCGGCGATTGCTGACGTAGGAGCAACATGTTTGACTTTTGATTGCCTTGGAAGTCCGCTCTGTCCTACGTGCCGTTACTGTGGGAGTAGCTAAGGCATTTGTGCCTCAGGGCTTTGGAAATAGGGTTCGGGACAACAATGGGGGTTTGGGTTTGGCTCCACGCTTAGGCTTGCCCGCAACCCCCATAGAGCCTTGGAGGTCGTCTCCGAACCGAGCTTTCTGCTTGTTTTTCATGTCCAGCCTCGGGGGTGTGCCAGATACTGAGAAACTTCTTAGGAAGGGCCGCCTTGGCATCCTTACAAGACTCTCCCCCGTAAGAGTATCCCCCATCCTGGAGGTCGAGGGCCCAAAACGGAGACCGAGCTGCAGGTGGTAGGTGAAGTGCCATGACGGGTGACTGGGCGACCTGGTGTCCCTGATGGTGATAGACCTCAAGCATCAGAGCACGCAGAGCACGTGACACGTTCGTGACCCAAGAACCGCCCATTCACCGGTGTCGGGTTGTGATTGAACTGATTAAACCAAGCAGCACCGTACGATGGTCTGCCCCGAAGATGCTGCCTCAGCGCAGCGTCTCGTCACAAGTGCGCACGTCATTCCAGCAAACTCCGGTGCAGCTTAACCGCATTCGCCACAGAGCGCCACGTCCAAGGTCATTGCTACTGTCGAACCTGCCACCACATCCATGAAGGGCTATAACGAGTCCAACGCAAAGAAACGGACAGCACTGCTTGCTGTTCCTAAGCCATCCTAAGCCATGCCTCGTTGCTGGCCGTTTGTGTCCTGATGCGAACCACAGAATTCCAACATGCATCAAGAGGTTGCGCAGCTCCTTCCTGATGAGCCAGCACGTAGGGTTTAGGGTTTAGGGTTTAGGGTTTAGGGTTTAGGGTTTAGGGTTTAGGGTTTAGGGTTTAGGGTTTAGGGTTTAGGGTTTAGGGTTTAGGGTTTAGGGTTGAGGGTTGAGGGTTTAGGGTTTAGGGGTTTAGGGGTTTAGAGGTTTAGGGGTTTAGGGTCTATTCTATCATGTCTGCATCTGCTCCTGCAAGTTAGATCCGACCGCTGTCTCCACAGCTTCGCGGATGGCGAGGCTTGGAGAAACGGATGCCACTAGGCACCAGAACATGAAAGCAGCCATTGCCAGCTGCAAATACCTGGAAAAATGGACGGCCAAGCAGATGCAGACATGATAGAATAGACCCTAAACCCCTAAACCCCTAAACCCCCTAAACCCCTAAACCCTAAACCCTTCGCCCTAAAAATTGGGGGGCCTTGAACTCACGCACAAGGTTCGTCGCCCTCATCCCGCGTCCGTCGACAGCTGCTTGCAAGCAAGATGCTGGAGGACAAGAGTTCAACCGACACACGGCATGTACCAACCGAGCAAAGCTTGAGCCAAACCAGGATGTTGATGTGCGTCAAAGATAAACAACTTCACAAGACATTATGTGGCTCAGACTCAAGCAAGCAACAATCTGGAGAAGAATAACATGCGCACATGACTCGCAAACTGCAACAAAGCCAGGAGCCCCGGCCACTGTCTATCGGCGGTAGAATGCTCGTCGTGTCCACGATGACGCCGCCCTCGTTCGTATTCAACCCCTAGCATTGCTGAACAGTCCCTCTGGATGTAAACGCGAATTTACACGACCGCCTCATTGTGAGCTTCAGGGCATTCACAACAATGCACGACCTTAGCTCGCGCACAAAACATGGCGGAAGCAAAACATGCCATGTATGGTACCTAGTTTGTCCAGTACCTAGGGGAACTAAAGGTTAACCTTTGGGATTATAGGGGGATTATATAGCCCCTAAACGGTTAAAGGTTACGTACTCTACAACTAAGGGTATGTTTCCTGCTGCCACTCAAAGCCTGACAACATCCAGCGATCTGAGGGGAGACTCCCATGGCACCACATTTGTAAGACGCAGGAAACTCGTCCGGGCCGCTGCTACTTTAACAAAACCATGAAAATTAACATGAAATCAACCAACACCAGTTCTAGGTGGGCGTGAAGCTACTGGCAGTGACGCAAATCAATGTGACACGACTTGCTCAATCTCATCTTTCATCGTGTCAAGCACGTCAGAGATGCGTCAAAGAAACAACATGATCATAATGAAAAACTGCTTGAAGCCGCGACAGAAGCCGGCACCACACACGTCAATCTTTTATGGTTTGTCTGTTCTTACAAACAACGAACCCTCACAGTCTGTCGCGCCAAGTCCACACTTCAAACAGCATGACCTTGAAAACATTGGCAGTACATTTTATGTTTTCAGTGATCGACAAGCAGCCGTTCTATAGTTGATTGGATTATGCTCGCAACACGTGAGGCTTAAAGACGCAGCACACCCACAGAGCATGAGAGGGAATGTCACGGCAATACTTGAGGTCTTGCCAAAAACAGTCCAGAACAGCTGGCTCGTCCACATTCCGCTTCTCCTCGCCACTGCCCATCTCCCCAAATAGTGTCCCAACACTACAGTTTCTGACATTGAAGGTAAATCATCGTAGATTCAGCGCGCGCCCGGTGCGAGATGCGCGAACGTTATTCCTCGAGCTGCAGTCTGATTGTTAGACGAAAATCGCATGTATGTCTCAGAGCGAAACATCGCAAGCTTCATGCCTTTGACTTTGGATGGTGTCGGATCGCTCTCGCCTGGGCCTTGTGCACTTTGAAGGAGAAATGGTGCTGGCCGCCGGGATGACTTATGAACGTCAGGAAGCTGCGTCTGCGCCGCGCGTCCGCGTGTCCGCGCGTCCGCGTGCCCGCGCTTCCGCGGAGTGTCTCTGCGCCGCGTCAGCGCGCTTGCGCGGGTCCGTGCTGTCTCGGATTCGCAGTGAGGGCACTGAAAGCCCATGCTCACCCACGCAGCGCGCAGTGCAAGTCCGACACTTCGCAAGGACCAACGGAAACCCGAAGTCCAACGATGAGAGATCCTGCCCCCGAATTGCAGAAGAAGTTTTTCGAAAAAACTGAACAGTGCACGTCGCACACCCCTGAATCCGAAACATGTTTCAGTGAAAGAGCCCAAACCCAAACCTTTTAACCCAACCGGTGTGCTTGAAATGCCCAAACGCTACACCAAACCCCCCCAATCTGCATGCTTGAAAAGGTCCAAATCCCTGAACCCAACCCCATTGCGCGGTAGCTTCTGTGTTAATTGCACAACCACTGGATGGATGGATGGATGGATGGATGGATGGAGATGGAGATGGAGATATACTGGTGGTATTGAGCCTACCAAGCAAAATGGGGGTGCGAAGCACTCTCTCGCTGTGTTTACTGGGAAACCTTTCACTCGGAAGCTGGAACCAATCTGAAGTTTCAACCTAAGCCCCAAAACTCTGAAACCTCACTACTACACTACGACCACGATTACCACTACCAGTACAACGACGACTGCAACAGCACTACTGCTGCGACTTTGGCAACGACCTGCAACACCACTCCAAAAAATTCTATGACGACAACGACGACAACGACAACAACGACAACAGCAACAACAACCACAACCACAACAACAACAAGAACAACACCCACCACAACAACCACCACAACAACCACCACCACCACAACCACCACAACAACCACAACAACCACCATCCGTGTGATCCCATCCTTGATGGTTTATGCCTCGTTGATTTCCAAGGAAATCATACGAGTGTGTTTTTGCCCAATACGCTATTTAAAGTGAGTGTGCAGTGTGTAGAAACTTTGTTCTGAAGCTGATTTTAAGCTCACAAGAGAGAATTCGTTTAGTTGTGCACTTTGTGACTTTTGGCTCAAGTGGCTCTGACTGTGAAAAAGAGAGAGCTGTCCGCACTTGTGTGAGAGGTTAGGGTTCGTGCTTTCAAGGGAAAAGGTACCAGAGGGATCTTGTTTTTTCACGTGGTAGCGGAGCTTGTGCCTTGTGGTACGAGCCCGTGTGTGGTCTTTGGTTGTCTGTCAGGACTCTGTAAGTGCCTGGAGGCAAGTTTGGGTTTGGAGCCCAGACTGCCAGTGGACCGGAATCTCTTGTACTCGGACCGTGTAAGTGAGTACCGGGAAGCCTACCCTGTGAGGAGGCGGATCCGGACTCATCAGGCTTGGAAGCAGTTGGTTCAGCGGCTGTTGAGGCACTTTGGAGCCGGGCAAGGTGGTTTGTCTGGAACTGGTTGGTCGTGACCGATCTTGGAGGGTTACGGTGCTTGGTAGAGTAGAACGAAGGTTCTTCAGGAGCCTGGACCATCTGGTGTTGGTGAGAGAATTTTCGCCAGAAGACGTTGTGGAGAGACTGCAGCCTGAGTTCAGGAACTATGTTGAATACACCCCCACGACATACCAGTGGAGCTCATGTGAGGAGTCCAAGAGGTGGACAAGAGCGTGGAAGCTCTGTGCCCATCATGGATGCTGAGACAAGGCGAAGGGTAGACCCTTTTCCGGGTTTGGGAAATCCCAACCCACTGTGGGTGCAAGGTTTGGCACAAGGAAGCCAACCTGTGTATGGCCCAGTGCCCAGAGGTCGAACTCCCGCCAGAAGCCCTCATGGGGTAGCTACTGGAGCACCCCAACAGACAATGGGAGGCCCTTCGTTTCCCCCTGGTTTGCCTCAGCAAGCGGTAGGAAGTCCTTCGTTACCACCAGGACTATCCACTGGACCTCCTCAACCTGTGGTGACACCATCACAAACATCACCCGACGTGCAAGGGTTGACGAGACAAGTGCGAGAATTGGAAAGCATGATGCAGCAACTGGTTGTGCAGCAACAGCAGTTTATGCAAACGATGACTTCGTCCATGGTGCAGCAACAGCAGCAGCATCAGCAGTGGATGATACAGCAGCATCAGCAACAGCAGCCACAGCAACAGCAACAGGTGAATCCCCCCTTACCTCAGGATGGTGTTCCTGAGAACATGCCCAGTTCTTCTTCGGGATGTCAAGGTGCATCGCCAGTGGGTACTCCTGCGAAGGGGACCCAGCTTTTTCGGATGGCGAGCCCAAGTCCCCCACTGAGACCTCCACCTCTGGAGCAAGAAAGTGAAAGGGATGTGTTTGCTCGATCGGACAAATGGTTGCCCAGTTTGCCGACCATTGACTTTTCGTCTTGGAAGGATCGCATCTCTGAAGCTCTTGGATTCTTGACCTGGATGGAGAAGCTGACCAGTTGGGTTGGTTTGGGTTCAGAAGTGTTTCCCAATGAGCTCATGCATGCGGTGAAGACTCAAGAAGAGTCTCGGCTGAAACAGGATCGACTTACTGTGGAGCAACAGAAGAGGTCGACGAGGCTGATGCACATCCTGCGACAGACTTTTGCAAATCATGAGAAGAGTTCTCTGATTTTGCAGACATATGTTGAAAGTGAGAGCACTTATCAACAATCTGGTTTTGTGGCTTTGAGATTGCTGGCGAAGGAGTTTTGCCTGAAGTCGCGAGCTGAATGCCTGTTCTTTCGGTCGCAGCTGGTGAATCAAACCGTGAAAGCACCCAGTATTCCGGAGATCATTCGAAAGATTGAGCATGAGTTGAACAAGTACACCAAGCTGCTCAATAGTCTTGATCCCGATGTGCATGCTGGTGGTTTGCAGATCCAAGAAGCGGATTCGGTTATGGTTTTGCTGCGCAGTTTGCCAGATCGGTGTAGAAGCCATTGCTTGTTGCATGGCGATAGTGAATCGTTTGAAGATCTGAAAAGAGTTGCTCTGAAGTTTGAGGTGCAACAAAGGGTGTGGTCAGAAGCCCCTGGCACGAAGCTTCAACCTTTTCGAGATCCCAATGAGGGAAAGGGCAACGAAGGAAAACCAAAAGGCAAAGGAAAGGAACAGAAAGGCAAGCGCGAATCAAGCAAAGGTGCTGGCAAACGAGCTTCAAGCCAGAACAAGAAGGATGTGGAGTGCTATGTGTGTGGTGGAAAGGGACATTATGCCCGCGATTGCTGGTATAAGGAGGGAGATTCAGGCAAGAAGCCCAATTCCCCCAATGCTAAGGCGAAAGCCAAGGCAAAAGGAGATCCCAAGAAGAAGCCCGAAAAGGGAAAGCCCAAAGGAAAAGGCAAAGGAAAGGGGAAGACAGTTGCTGAAGTCTCCCAAGAGGGTGAGTCGAGTGACTACCAGCTAACTGGAGGTGAATGGAATGAACCTGAGTCAGAGGCCCG